TGACCAGGGTGCACACAGCAGCCCCCTCACACTCTGATCAGCCCCGTCATCACAATGAAAATGGCCCTTCGCAGCCCTGCAGGGCTGTGGAAAGCCAGCCTAATTGGATCCAGGACCCTCAGGAGCCTAGTTCCTCACAGGAAGTTCCCAGGAACAAGTTTCCGAGGCTGGCTTGGGTCCTGGGGGTGGGGTGGGGGGCAGCAGCTGGGACTCAGGGCTCTGGCTGTGTGGAGTTGGGGCCACATGGAGGGCAGAGGGGTCATGGGAGGAAAACTGAGCACATGGGGTCTCAAAGCGCTGGGAAGGTGGGAAACCTCAGCTTTCCTCTCCTAGACCATCTCCTGCTTGTCCCTTCCAGGCCATCCTTCTGGGGCCCTGATGACCTGTCTGTTGAAAACCTTGACCATGGCCTTTCCTGGCTCAGGGACTCCTGAACATGGCCCCACATGGCCTTTCATCCAAGTGCTTTCTCCTGGAACTCTGGCCCTTTATGAACTGCCCCAGCAACTTTTCCCTCCTTCCCCTGTGAATTCCTGCACTGGGCCCACACCAGACAAAACACGAGTCCACATGCTTTCCTGCCTCGGGGCCTTTGCACGTGCATTTTTTCCCCACCCGGCCTGCCCTTCCCTGGCATCTCTCTCTTGACATCTCCCCTTCCTGCCATCAGTTAAGTCCCTCCCACCTTCATGCAGTCTTTGTTCATCCCTCAATGGGATGAGCTCATCTTCCCAGGAGCACCCCCACCCCTAGCTCAGCCATACCCCAGCAGTACCTTGTTGCCCCTCCCTGGGGCAGGGGACATTTTTGAGAAAGCTTTTCTGTCCTAGGAAGCTAGCAGCTTTCCATGTCTTTGCACACATGCCCCTCTGCTCTCTCTCTACCCTCTTGCTCTCCTGGCAGACTCCCCCATCTTCAAGACCCGCATGGACAGACCCCCTCCTCCCATGGGTTCCCTCAGTGAACATTATCGAGCAGCTAGGGTGAACTGGGCACTTGAGCACCTACTACGTGGCCGGTGCTAGGCTCTGGGGCTGCAGCAGTGGCCCTGTCCTTGAGGGTCATGGCTGGAGGCAGTGTTTAGAGGCATGATACAGAGGTGGGGTTGGGGGAATGCAGGGGGCCACAGGCGTGTGTAACAGGAGAGGGTCAGAGAGTGACCTTCAGCTGAGACCTGAAGGAAGAGCTGAGTGAGCTGTGCCACTGAGTCTGGATATAGGGTTGTAACCAAGCCCTGATCTCACTGACACCTGGGGGATTGGACAGATAAGTTATCAGGCTATTCTAGGGTAGGGGGATGCGTGCTTAGGTAAGGGGAGCCCAGGAGGCTGTGGGAGCTCAGGGGAGAGGTTGCAAATGTAGCCAAGGATGGGGCTGGCAATCAGGAAGGTTTCCTCTAGGCAGCGACACCTCAGCTAACTTACGGCCGATGGGCATCTGACAAGGTTCCAACTGGATGATGGTCCCCCACGTGGAAGGGCATAGCCTGTGCAAAGAAAGGCACGGTGGCATGAGAGCAACTTGTTTTGGGAACCTGCAGGTAGTTTAGTGAGGCTGGAGGGAGAGATGCATGTGGCCAGCAAGGCCTCCTTAGCAAAGGCCCTGGGCCACCCTGGGGAGTTTGAACTACACCCCAAAAGTTATGGCAACCCAATAGGGATTTTAAGCAGGAGAGTTAGTGAGTGGGCAGGCTTTCCTTTGTTTGGCTTTGGCTCCCCAAGTCCCCACATAGGCAGGGGAGTCCCCCTCTGACTGCACTCCTGGCTGGGGTCTGGGGTAGGGCTCGAGGCTCACTGTGGGACTTTGAGCAAGCCCCTGACTCTCTCTGAGCCTCTCTCTCCTCCTGGGTAAACCTGCAGGGCCTGAGGCCAGGATTCCAGTGGGGCCGTAGGCAGAGGCTGGGGTGCCTCTCTTGGCCAAAGCTGGCCGAACCTTTAGTTTTATTAAAATTTTCCTTAAAAAGTCAAGTAGCCACGCTTCAGAAAAGTCGGAGAATAGGGAAATGAAATAAACCAAAACCCACCCCCATTTCTGTCCCCACCCTGAGCCCGAAACACACCACTGCTAGCATTTTGGTGTTTCCTTCCTGTCTTTTCCCTCAGCACCCGGTTTTTAGATAGATGTCATTGCTCTATCTATACAAATAATTTTAAACTCTTCCTTTCCCCTCCAACTAATGTTGTATCATGAGTGTTTCCTAAATGACTGCAGGGTGGTTTTAATCCCTCTTTTTAATGGATGTGGTGTCAGGGTGGAAAACATGGGCTCCGGAGCCCGACTTTCTGAGTTCAAATCATATACACACTGCTTGACTTTGGGCAAGTTACCTAATTTCTCTGTGCCTCAGTTCCTCGTAAGGTTGATATGAATGTTAAATGAGTCATTGCAATGCCAGTAAACATTGGCTGTTATCAACGACTGTAGACTATCACTGTGTAACATGATTTACAGAGCCATCCCCCTATTGTTTAAAATTTTGGCTGTTCCAGGTTTTTGCTACTGTAAAAAAACCACTGAAGCAAACAGCTTTGTGCATAAAACTTTGTCTATATTTGGGGTATTTCCTAGGGACAGATGACCAAGAATAGGATCGCTAGTCCAGGAAGTCTGAAAATTTTTATAGAGCTCATAACACGTTATTGCCAGATTGTTTTCGGAAATGTTTGTTCCAGTTTACACTCTCAGAAATAATGCATGTGAGTGCCATTTCACCATACCCTCACCAGCATTGAGTATTATCATTTTCTTATTGGGAAGAAAATGGGAAGCAGAACCATTTTCTGTGTTTATTAGCTGTTAACAACTTTTTTGGTCTGCTAGTCTCTATAGCACACAGCCTCATCTCAGATCAATTAAGAAGATAGGGCTTAGATACAGAAAATAGGGAAGAATATAACACAGGGGACAACATAGTGCCAGAGTGGTGGGAGGGGACTCAGAGGAGGGGGAGGGGACTTTCCTCTATCTAGGCCATGACACTTTCACTTCCCTCTACCTAGACTATTCATTCATTCAAACATTTATCAGGTACTTTTTGGCTTAAAGGTAAATGACTCAGCCTTGATTGTGCCCTGACAGAGGGCATGGACAAGAAAACAGGCAGAAAATGGACTGCTAAGGGTCTGATGATGAACATGCAGGGCACAAAGGGAGCAGAGAGGAGAGGCACCCAACATAGCCTAGCAGTCCTGGAAGGCTTCCAGGAGGAAGTGGCCTGTAAACTGGGGCCTGAGGAATAAGTTGTAGTTAACCAGTGAAATGGGGAGGGCAGAGGGTTCCAGGGAGAGGTGAGGAAGTGAGAAGGGAAGTGGAGCAGTAGGGGAGCGCTCGGTCTGGCTGGGCAGAGTGGAAGGCAGAAATAACCACTGAGGCCAAAGAGGTCGGCAAGGGCCAGGCATGGAAGGCCTAAGGAATCCAGACCTTGTCTGGAGGGAAGGAGGGAGCCATCAAAGGTTTTCAGTAGGGGAATGTTGTGATCTGATTTGTATTTTAGAAATATCAGAGTGACTGCAGCAGGAGAATGGAATGGGTCGTGTGGGTAGAGGTGAGGGACCCTGGGAGGAGGCTCTTGGAATAGCTGAGGCCAGAGCAGAAAGGGGCCCGGACCAGGGCAGGGAAGGTGTGGAGATAATCCCTGTGGAACCCTGACCGGCTTCAAAGTGCCAATGGAATTTCACCTCAGCCAGACAGCCCTTGCGGACATCTGCCATGACCCACCAGATCATGTGTGCCTGGAGGATGGGGCCTGTGCAGGGCCTGGCATGTGACGGTCAGTTGAGTGCCCACCATCCCTGACCCTGATCCCCCCTGCTCCTCCCTGCCTCCAGACCCTCCATCTGTTACCCCCGCCCCCTTGGCTACCAACCACTTTCTTTCTCTTTTTTTAAGAATAAATTTATTGTTTTCATTATAAAAGCAACAACAACATTGCAGAGTATCTGGAAATTAGAGAAACGAAGGCAAAAAACCAGATCGGCTCCAGCCGCCTCCCCTAGCGCTCCCAGCCTCCCTCTGGGCGTGGTTCCCTGCAGCTTTTTCTGACGCAGGTTTTTATTTTTGCCTCCTTGTAATCATAGTATCCGGACGGTTTTGGGTCCTGCTCTCTCCCATTTGCTTTGTTGGGAGCTAGTTCCCCTGTGGCCATGGGGTCTGGGCAGATCGCATTTTTTAATGTCTCTGGGCTGGTCTGGGGATGGGGTAGGTGGGACAAAAGTTGCTGTCCTGCAGCGGGCAAGGTTAGTCACATTGCCCCTTGGGCTGTCCATTTTCGTTTGTGTCTGTTTGTCTAGGCCTGAACCTCCCCAGGTGGCAGGGCCTGGCACCTGGTGTGCCCCTTCCTCAGTGCCCCTGCCCCTTCTGCCCCTTTGTGGAGCTTGCTATGCTGGCCTCAGAGGCCACTGTCCTGGGAAAGGGTGATGGATAGAACTGGTTTCCAATCCAGACTCAGTTCTGTGACCTCGGGCAAGTTACTTAACCTCTCTGGACCTCAGTTTCCTCATATGTATAATGGGTCTATTGCAACAATAAAATAATGGCTGTAAAATGCCCTGCTACCGTTCCTGGCCTATTTTAGGTGTTCGGGAAAAGGTAGTCGGTATTATTGTGCTTTTTCATTCTACAAAGAGTTTCTGAGACCCCCTTGGACTAGATGCTGGAATGGCAGAGGTGAACGAGCACCACTTCTCCCTGTGAAGACCTCACAGTCTGGTGGGGAAGTCACCCAGGGAAACATGACCGCACCAGGGTGTGATCAGCCCTGTAGTGCTTCACCAGATCTAACTCCATCACTTGCTAGCTGTGTGACTTTGGGCAAGTTGGTCAACCTCTCTGAGCTGCAGTTTCCTCTTCTGTTAAATGTACATCTCACAGGGCCATTGGAAAAATTCAGTGACATGATGTGTGTAACATACTCAGCATAGTGCCTGGCAAGTAGTAGGTGCTGAAACCAATGGTAGCTGCCATTTATTATTATTATTGTTATTGTTATTCCCATATACAAGGTGCTGTTGGGAACACAGAGGAAGTGACTGACTGGGGGTTCAGGGAAAGCTCCGTAGAAGAGGGAACACTTGAGCTGGGTCTTGAAGGATGAGTAGAAGTTCACCAAGTGGGAAAGGACACTCTAGGTAAGGAGCCTGTGATTCCAGGTTGAAATCTGTCAATGAGGGGTTTGTTCTTTGGGGGAATAAGGCAATTGTGTTCATCCCAACTTCCCTGAGTGCCCCTCACTGCCTCCTTCCGGGTCTGCCTGGGGGCTGTGTGTGCTCACCCTCCTGTAATAGCATCCACCTGTGACTCTGTCCTGGTGGCTGTGGGGTCCTGCCCATGGGAGTTGCCATGTCCCCATCTGTCCATGTTTGGGATCACAGATCTGGCCTGTCGGAGTTTGGTGCTGTCTGTCTGCATGTTCCTGTGACTCTGTCTGCGTCAGTGTCCAGAGGACCTCCTGGGCCACACCTTGGAGGGCAACCTGCATGCTTCCTTGGCCTCCAGCTCTAACCAGCTCTAACTCCTTGGTCACCCTTTTCCCTGGCCCAGGGTAGTCCCCGCCTCTCATCTCCGTTCCATTCCCTGGGGGCCTTCGACCAGTTCCCTCTCACTGCCTCCTCTCCTGGTTTCTCCAGGCCCGCCTACACTCAGCAGTCAGAGGGGCCTTTCTAAACCACAGATTCTGTGCCGTCACCTACTGCTTGAAGTCCAGACTCCAGGCCTCAGATTCTGGAACCGCCTTTCTAGGTCTGACCCTGGCCGTTGGCTCAAGCCTCATGTCCTGTCTCCCGGTCTACACTGATCACTTTAGCTCGCCTCACGCACTGTGTTGCTTCTCACCCCTGGGCCTTTGCGCAGTCTGCTGCTTTTGCCAGGAATGCTCCCCACTCCTTCTTTGCCCGGCTAACTCCCACTCATCCTTTAAGACCTAAAGCACGTATCACCTCCATTGGGAAGTCCTACCTGATCCTTTCTTTCCATCCTGTGCTCTGGGCTGCTCATGCCTGACTTGGGGGGCAAGAGCAAGTGACTTGCCCAAGATCACACAGCTGGTGTTTTGGAGCCAAGATTTGAACCTGGGTGCACTGGGCTCCAAATAAAGCAGGTTGTTCCGTGGTCCAGGTGAGGGGATAGTAGCTAGGACTTGTGAAGATGATGGAGTGGATTTGAGAGAGAGTTTGGAAATGGAAACCCAAGACGTGGCTGCTGGTGTATCTGAGCTGGGAGGGGAGGGAGGGGACGTGCTGTGGATGAGTGTCCGTGGCAGGAGCATCTGGGCAGATGGCAATGCCCTGGTCAGAGGGGATCACTAGAGAAGTACATATCCTAGGGGGAGACGAAGTCCAGCTCAGGCCTGCTGAGTCTGAGCAGCCCATGAGTGGTCAGGGAGGTAACTGGAAGGTGGGCCTGGAGCTCCAGGGGGCAGCCTGGTCTGGGGGTGGAGACTGGGGGGTTGGCTGGTATTTAAAGTCCTAGAGTGGATGGGCCACCCAAGGACTGAGGCTAATGGAAGAGAGGAGCGCCCCCCCACCCTGAGGAGCCCAGGCTGTGTGGGGTGGGAGCTGGGAAGGAGACTGAGAAGATGAGGAACCCAGGGCTCACGGTGCACAGATCTTCTCAAAGGGCCCAGGTGGCCGGGAGGCCCTGAAGGACAGGACTGGAAGGTAGCCCTTCGGCTTTGACTGCATGGAGGTCCCTGGTGGCATGTGGCAGGCCTCACAGGCAAAAGTTCTTTTTTTGCAGAAGCTTGTGGGTCATGTGTCTGCTTCCTTCCTTAGCTCAGGGCTCCCAGAGGGCAGGGCTCTTCTCTTTGCCTTCGGTTCCCCAGCACCGCTCCCCAGTTTGGCCCAGAGGATGTATCCAGAACGAATGGATGGGCAGATGGGTGGGTGGGCGGCTCTAGGAGGTGTTTCATTCATTGACCCATCCAACTTTTGTCACCTTTTAGAGCAAGAAAAACAAAATGACAGCTTGCTCGCCCTACTGCAAGGATCAGGGCTGTGAGTCTTGAGGCTCAAAGCACAGTCTTGGCTTCTGTCTGGGCCATGAAGCCCAGTCTGCATGGCCTCCCCAGCCTCCAGCATGTCTCCTCTGCCTGTCCAGCGTGGACACTCAGCCCAGCCGGCCTGGCTCCTCTGCCCTAGGCGCTGTCCTCAGGCTCCTCCCTCTAACCTCGGTCCTCCAAGCTTCAGGCTCCCCAGCTTGCACACTGCCTGATGCCTCCTCACCAGCAGCATTCAAGGCCCTGCTGGCTGGCCTCAGTCTCTCACCACTCTCCAGCTCTCTTTGGTGTCAGTGGGTGGCTGCCCACTGTCCAGAACCTGCCTTGTACTTTCATACCTCCATGTCTGCTCAAACTATTGCCTCTGCCTGGATGCCCTTCTGCCTTGTCCATCTGTCCTAAATAGACACTGACCAGTCTCTCTCCTGCTTAAAACCTCTCCCTCAACACAAGGTGTGCGTGGCTTAGTCTGGCCCCGGCCACCCTGTCACGTGGGTCCCAGGGCTGCACAGGTGCACACCTACCTAGAAGGCTTGTTGGGGGGCTCACATGAGATGCTCTTGATGCACACCTGGCGGTGTGCCTGACACTCAGTGAGGGCTCAGCAGACGCTCCCCCCCTGCCCCCACCTGCCTTCCCTGCGCTGACACAGGGTAGATGTACACGAGTACCTGGGTCACTGACCAAATCATTAAGTAACTTAAGCCCAGCCAGAGAAGGACACAGAGAAATGAAGCAGAGGCTGTGCGGATTAGATTACGTGACCCAGGGCAGACCCTTCCCCTCTGTGTGCCTGCTTCTCCAACCAGGGTTAGGGGTGGTCCCTGGCTGACCAGGGGCCTGATAAGTGGCAGAGAGGATGCTCTATCCCGGCTATGGGACCCTGTACCTCGCTGACCAGGGTGGAGTTTGGGGAAGCCTTGACTTGGCATTGAACTGAAGAGGAGGAGAGGACAGTTCCCCCAGAACTGTCTGAGGAACAGTCGGGTGCAGTGGGCAGAATCCTGCCCCAGGGCAGGAATGAAGCAGAGTGGCCTGTTTCAATCCCATTTTACAGATGAGGAAAACGGAGGCTCAGAGAGCCGATGCCCAACACTGCAGCACAGCGCTCCCTCCTGTTTCCCCATCCGTGTGGCCAGGAGCGAGTGCTTCCCTCCTGGTGCCCTACCTTCTTCCTCTGTGAAATGGGGGTGAAGATTTTCCCTGCTTTCTGGGGCCCCGGTGAGAATACTGCTGGATACTGAGGGCTTTGTACACTGTCAACAGTGCTAGATAACTGTGTGGGACTGTCTTTAAAATAATTCTGATTATTTATTTCTTCATTTATTCATTCTGTCACACAACTCATGTTGTTGATCACCTTCTGGGTCTGGGTGCTGGGGATGCCAAGTTGGACGAGACAGATGTATCCAATTCCCAGGCCTCTCTAAGGCAGCTCCCCAGCTTCTCTTCCCCTCAGCCCTGGAGCCTCCTCACCCTGGCTTTTCAGCTCAGACCCCTTCACGTTTTCCCCAGTGGACAACAGCAAGGGAGGGACAGGTCTGAGGCTGCTGGGTGGATGGGCAGTGGGTGCTGTGCCATCCTAAGAGAGGACATATTCACAATCCTACAGTCAGCATGCTTTGTCCTTCCCCCTGAACAGCTAAGGGACTGGTGAGCTGGACTTTGGAGTCAGGCAGATTAGAGTGGGAATCTCAGCTCTCTGCTTACTTGCTGTGTGACCTTGACCAAGTCACTCCACCTCTCTGAACTTCAGTTTCCTCAGTAGTAAAATGGGGATGATAAGAGTACCTGCCTCTTGGTGTCAGTATGCCTGGCACAAGGTGGGTACTTAGTAAATGGCAGCCTTCTCACTATTTTTATTGTGTTGAGGTCCTTCTTTGAAAGGAGAAGTTCCAGGGATCTGGAGCAGTCAGGGAGAACTCTAGGCAGGAAGTGCTTCTGGTATTGGGTTGTGAAGGATGGGCAGGGTTGGATGGGTGGAGAGAAGGGCAGCTTGGTCTCTGTGCGTGGCAGGAGCAGGAGGGCTTTTAGAGCTGCCCCAGCCACCCAGAGGAGGATACTCTTGAGTCCCAGCCTGGCTAGGCTTGGACCCCAAGCGGGCCCCCAGGCTGGGAGTGAGAGGCAAGGACTTTTGCATACAGGTATTGAGTCGTCTGCATGTGGATATTTGTTCCACCAAGGATGGGTTTGCAAAGCAAGCTCTCCAGAGGAACTGGCTTGAGCAAATCTGATTTCTAGTCTTGACTCTGGCACCCTAGCCCTATGGTCTTGGACAGGTCTCTTTCCTTCTCTCCAGGCCTCAGTTTCTTCACCTATAAAATGGGATAATTCCTCCTGTGCCTACTTCTCAAGTAAAGATCACAAGAGATAATTTATATAAAAGATCTTTCTTAAAGTGTTCTGATTAGGTTGTATCCTTATTGAGGGCTTTTTCCTGAAACCCTCTGCCTGTGATTCCAGTAGGGGCTTCTCCCACTTGTAGGGCCAGGAAAAAAGGTTAAAGGCACTTCATTTCAGCCTCGCCTATCATAAGAAACAGTTCCATTTAAGCAACCAATATCAGTAGGTATTTAGTTAGTAATTTCTGTAAGAGAGAGATAAGAGAAATTTGATGGGAGCAAGACTTAATGGAATACCTCTGTCCAGCATGGTCCCTATAAGTCACTTCTTGACTTACTCTAGGGTCACAGGAAGACTTGAACCCTATGGAAGACAAAGATAGCTTTGAACGCCCACCCTTCATACTGCCCTGGTTGAAAAGCCCTTTTAACTGCACAGGAACTTGCCAGAGGTGAGGGCCACCAGACGGATTTTCACATACTTCTACTAAAGAGCCCCAAACTGCCCTAGCTTCAGGCCTCCTCACCTCCCTCCTTAAGCACAGTGTTCCGACACATCCTTGTAGGGAA